TCTTTAGACACGAACAATTAAATCCTGCTTTGCTTTGTCCAATATTGGATTATGTTGCTCTGGACAACTCAGAACCAGAAGCCCTCCTCTCAAGACAGTGACATTCTGAAGGTTTTTTCCCTTCATAAACTAAATTAAACTTGGGTTTCTTGAAGTGCTCTGGGTAACATCTGTCCGACTACTTCCAGGGTTTGAGTCCTCCCTTAGACAATCTAATAAACTTTTTCTGTGTGTTTCCAGGACACACGTGGGGAAATTGTCCTGGTCCGGAGAAGGTCCTAATCAAGCACATTAAATGGGCCTGCTGCCTCTGTCCTGCACCGTCAGTGGCCTGAGGTCCGGTGAAGGAGAGGAGGCCTGCCCTGGGACCGCCAAGTTTTCCCGCTGCTCGCAGCTGCCCCTGTCTGGATCAGAAACCCACCTGACCACACCCCTCGCCATCTCAATCAGCCAGGCGCTCCTGTCCCTCTTCGCAAGTTTCAAAATTGAAGAACCAAGATAGACAGTATTTTTCCATCAGGGCTCAGAGGAAGACATTGCCTCATTAAAAAAAATAAATATATAAAGGTGGGGGGAGTTCGATTAAGGGGATTCATTATGTGGCAGTGGATGGAAAGGAGTATGGGTGGGGTTTGCCACCTGCTTATACGAGAGTGCATTATAATACTGACACCTGAAACCTTTACCACCTCTTAAACCAATGTTATTTCATTAAATAAAAACAAAGCACAAGGGCCCTCCCTGGTGGCGCAACGGGTTAAAGCACAGCACTAAGAAGCTAAAGCCACTTCAGCAAGAGTTTGATTCCCGCCAGCTCCAGAGGAGACCACATGGCGCGGCAGACCTCTCCTGACCTGCCCGCTGCTCCCCTCAGCAGTGTACTTTGTCGATCTGCCTGTTCTGCTCCCCGCTCTGTCTCTGGTGAATCCTGTCACCGCCCCGAGCCTCTGGCCTGTATCCCAGGTTTGTGTGCATAAATAAATAAATCTTTAAAAAAAAAAAAAAGCATAGAGTCTTGGAGAATTGGAAAGAGTTTAGAAGCTTCATAGCTGGATTCACGAATGGGGTACAGCCCATCTGGCCAGCAGGGGTCACTAGGTGGCGAGAACTGCACAATGGGAGCTTTTCATGGGCAGAAGCAGTTGAACAAGGTTATTAGCAACAGAAAGGAAGGTCTGGCGGCAGTTACCTCTCCTGGATGGGAGGCCTGGGTTCTTATCATGCAGATGGCCTCATACCTGCCCAGGAAATCCCCTTTCGTCGGTTTAAAACTCCACTTCAGGGGGAGGCTGAAACCGCAGGTCTGTTAGGTATTGAGTTTTGAGCTGCGTTGGCTTTGGCGGGCTTCCCTGGGTCTGTTTCTTTCGCTGACTCGTCCACTCCAAAAACCAGGTTCTGCACATCCGTGATGGGGTTACCTCCAGTGTCTCTGACGCTGGTCTCGCTTCCAGATATTTCTCTCCGCCTCTCCTGTATGCCATCTCCGCTTATTTTCTCCCCCTTAAGACCCATGTCCCCCCATCCCCCCATCCAACTGCAATGTAAGCACCACGGGGTCAAAGAGTCTGGATTTTGTTCTTTGTTCTAAGCCGGGCATTTAGCACCTCACACAGGCTGTGTTTTCAATAAATATTTGTTAAATCGATCCATGGAGGCACTTGCAGGGGTACAAGACAGCGAGCGGGTTGAGAAAGCGGACTGAAGAGCTCTGTGATTTCAGGCCACAGGTTATAGTGAGCAAAACCTTGTTGTGCCCCATCACCCCCATCAGAAATGGGACCCACGAGACATCATGGGACCAGACCCGTGGGACAGTTGGGTGGACAGCTATGGTGTTTTGTTTTTTTTTTAAATCCTAGTTGAGTATGTGATCTAATTTAGCCAGGAAGCACACCCCACCCTTGTTCACCATGAATGCTTCTTCAAGTGGTTGCTTTCTATGTGACACGTAATCCAATTCAGAAAAGAAAAATCAATCCTATATCATCTGCCAAAACTAATGGCATGAAGTGTTGCGTGTGACCAGCTTCGGGCAGTAACACAATGGCTACCTGTGTGACCTCTATGGGCAATACCATGCTGGCTGGGACTGCGCCTGCATCCAGGTAACAGTGCCATGTCAGCTTTCTAAAACGGAACCTAAAGCCTATATAAGAGATTCCTCCCCTACAGCACTCGAAGTAGCTGTGGATCCCACCCTAGGGAGCTCAGTGTCAGCGGCTGCCCCGGAGCAATAAACTCTGCTTGTTCCAGACTTTCCGCCTCCAAACTTTCTTCCTTGCAGCCCGGTCTCAGAAATCGGGACCAAACATAAAGCATCTTTCTCTCTAGGGGCCTCCCTGGTGGCGTAGGGGTTAAGTCTCAGTGCTATCATACTCTGTTGGCCTGAGTTCCATCCCCAGCCAGGGAGCTGACCCACAGGGCGCAGCAGACCTCTCCTGTCTGTCTCGCCTGCTGCTCCCCTCAGCAGTGTGTTTCAGTCAATCCACCTCTTCTGTTCCTACTCTGTCTGGTGAACCCTCTTACCCCCTGCCCCCACCGAGGCCTACATCCCAACTCTTGTATGCATTTACAAAAAAATTCTTTCTCTCCAGGGACGCTGCCATAGGTAAACCTGGAGTCATTACAGTCACCACCTGGACCCTGTGGGCTGTCCGGGAGCAGCTGAAGCCCCTCCCTGGATCCATTTGGCCTGAAGTTATCAGACATTTTCAAAGAATTCAGCCAAGAGATTTCTCTTTTGCTTGTGAAAAATTTTGATTCAGATTCCTCTCACAACTGCAAATATCCCGATCAATTCACTCAGGTACCGAAGAACCAGAAGGAAATACATCCTTAAGCTTCTTAATATCTGGCAGGGAAGCCTGACTTCAGGGAGAATTGCCATCCAGGTGAATTTTGTTGATTAACTTCTTGGTTTTTTTTTAAAAAGATTTTATTTATTTATGCATACAGAATTGGGGTACAGGCCAGAGGTGCAGCGGGGCGGTGACAGGATTCACCAGAGAAAGAGGGGGAAGCAGAACAGGCAGATTGATGAAGTGTAGTGCTGAGGGGAGCAGCGGGCAGATCAGGAGAGATCTGCTGGGCCATGTGGGTCAGCTCCTGGCCCTATGGGTCACCTCCTGGCCATGTGGGTCACCTCCTGGCTGGGGATCGCACTGGGGCCTTGGGCAGTGGTAGCTCCGAGACTTAATCCCTAGGCCACCATTCACCATCTTCTTGGTGAACAGGATGACTATATGTCATGCGAAGAAAAAGGAATCCGTGACGCTAGATATATTTGATCTTTGCATTTACATATTGGGAATCAATTTTAAAACTGTCTGAGGTGTTTTAAGACCTTAGCATCATCGCACAGTTAAGAGCAGTGGAAAAACTGAATCTGACCTACTCAATGCGCAGGCAGAGCGCAAGATAACAGTGGAAGGAGCACTAAGGCAAGAGTCCATCAATCTGATTCCTAAAGCTTATTGATGACTGATTGTACCAGTGCGATCCCCACGAATAGGGGCAGTGCAGGTTGCCTGCCCCGCCCAAGGAAGGGTGGAGCTGAGCAGTGAGGAGACCCTGAAAAAGACTGGGAGGACACTGGAGCCTGGAAGCCTGGAGGAGCACATGGAGCAGAGACATGTGAAGAAGCTGGGCTGGCTTCTCAGCCCTGGACTTGTACCAGGGACGTGGGGGACATGGAAGGAGACACTTGGAAGAGACGTGGGTGAGAAACGCATGAGGAGGCTGACAGAGGCATCTTGCTAGCCTTGTGTTGACCTGTATATTGACTTTGCTCTTGTCCTTCCAGACCTGCCTGGTCCCTTCTGCCTTTTCCTATGTGTCACCACCAGAAGGTGCCTTAGACTTGAGCGATCTTTCAGGCCTGGGTGGCCCTGCTTTGGGCCCTGCGTGGCTGGGCATTTACCTACAGGGAGAGGAGTAACTTTGAGTCGTCCATGGGGAACCTATTTTAACTATATATTTGTGTCTTCTGTCTATTGTACTAATTAATACACTAATTGTATTAATTAGTTCTCTGCTATTGAAGGTCTCACACTAAGTGTATGTTTTGTCTTTATGTGGCAGATGGCAGAACCCAGCTGTGGTTTTTCATTTCTTTCTTTTTTTTAAGATTTATTTTTTATTTATGCATACAAGAACTGGGGTACAGGCCAGACTTGGGGGGTGAGAGGATTCCCCAGGACAGAGTGGGGAACAGAACAGGCAGACTGAGTGACCTCACCTGCTGAGGGGAGCAGCAGGTGGGTCAGAAGAGGTCTGCCAGGCCATGTGGGTCACCTCCTGGGTGAGGAACCCGTTGTGCCACCAGGGAGGGCCCCCGATTTTTCATTTCTATAGCTAGTTTAACAACTGTGTTAATCATGTCTACCCCCACCTCCGGTTTCTGGTCTTGTGACACCTCCACCCTAAATTTTCTATGCTTAGCCTTCACATTTTTAGAAATCCTTTAAAGTCTCTTAAAAAGACGTGTTCTTCCACTTCACAGAAAAATGCCCCCCAAACTCACACATTCTCTCTCTCTCACCAATGTAGATGGTAAATTTGAAATAAGTGCCACTACTAGTCTTAGTGAATCTAGGCATTGCAGAGGAGTTATTGTTAAAAAATATGTATCTTGACGGAACTAGGTTGATATTTTGGAAAGAACATTTCATTCAGTAGTGTTCTGATTCTTTAGAATCAGAAATTAAATAGTCCTTTGCCTCCTGCTCCAACGACCTGTGTATCGTTGAGCAAGTCACTTAACCTTTCACTCACCCGTAAAATGTTGTCAAATCTACCCCTGCCCCCACCTCGGATGCAGTGAGGATTAAAAGGCAGAAGGCCTCCCGCCCACCTGGCAGAGCAAACTCTGCAGGTAGCAGCTCGGAGGTTTATCCCGCTCAGCGCGCATTCGATGAGCTCGACGCTCTTCCAGACGCGGGAAGCCCCTTTCCCAGCCCGAGTTTGCGCTCTGTGCTCGACTGAGGCTCCCTGCCGCTCGCGCTTTTCTCTCCTTCTCCAAGATGGCGGCGGTCGGCGGCGCTGAGGCGGGATCCGGACCAGCCGAGTGAAGGTAGCGGCGAGCGGAGCCCCCACCTGGCCGGGCCCAGCCCCCACCCCGAGGCGGCGG